ACACACACACACACACACACACACACACACACACACACACACACACACTTTCCATGGATTCAGACAAGGAGTTACATAACTTTAAGACAACTGTTAAAAGTTCTTTCCAAACTCAAATCCTAGTGTTGCTGTACCATTGGGTTAAGGCAGTCTCTGAATTTCTAGAGGCATTAAAAACATGGTGAGAAACTGAGCATGGCAGTGGGTGTCTACACCTTTAGCTTTTTGGGTGACTTAGAGTCTGAGTCAAGAGGATCTTCTCAAGCCCAGGAGTTTAAAAGCAGACCAACCAACACAATAAAATGCTATCTCAGAGAAAAGAAAAAGTCTCCCCCTTTTTTTTTTTTTAAAGAACAGGAAATTAAATGTGCAGCTCTTGTAAATAGTACCTTCTGAATGCAGTTAGACCCTGAGACACATTTATGCTATATTATATGACCTACAGGGAAGAGATGAACTATTTTGATTAAAATGTGATGAAACTAATATTACACATTAAAACATGATATGGCACATTCCTTTCAACCCAGTCTACTGGGAGGGAGAGGAGACCAGATCTCTGCGAGTCTGAGGTCAGCCTGGTCTACATAGTAAGTTCTAGGCTAGCTAGCTACGTAGAGTCTGGTCTCAATAAACAAACAGGTATGAAAGAAAGAAAATACTTTCTCCTCTGTCCCTCACATTCACCAGCAGGCTACACCGGATGGTGATAGGAAGAGAAGACTACATCACAATTGGCTTACACAGGCAATCACAGAGGGAACCTCTGGCAAAGCTAGAATACAACTCAGAATTCCTGATCTTTAATGCTTACAAGTTATTTGATATGGTAACTTAAAGTCAATTGAGAAGTATATTTTTAAATAAGATGTACGTGGACCTTTGATTTCATGGGAGATTAAAATCATGGTGAGCTGAGGGGAAGCGTTCCCACGCCACACCAGATCTGTGGTGGTCATGTGTTTGGTTGTGGGCCTGCTACACCCACACTTAGAAATGAAAAACTTGCTAGGTTATTTTAGGACCACGGAGGGACCGAGCTCAGCAATTGTTACACACTGTCTTGTGAGACCCAGAAACTCACTGAAGAGTTTAAGTTTCTTGGGGGAACTAAGTGAATAAAGTTTGAGAGAGAGAAAAAAAAACCATCATAACCATCAAACCGACCCTCATAGAAGGCACCCTCAGACTGAGCTTCATTCAGAGTGTTACCATTTAGAAATTAAGTCAAAAGTGACCGAGTTGAAGAGGTCAAGAGTCCTGGGTCCCCTGGAGCTGGAGTTACAGGCAGCTGTGGGCAGACCAACGTGAGGCCTGAATTCAGGTCCTCCATAAGAACGGTGCAGGCTCTTAACAGCTGAGCCACCTCTCCACCCCCAAGTGGTTTTTATTTTTATTCATTTTAAGGAGCAAATTCTTCAAAGACTGGTACAAAGGGCATAGAAGGGTTGAACATCAATTTTTAATAATGAAACCTTTTATCCATTCCTCGAAATTAACATAAAAGGCATGAGAAACTGTCCATTTCCCGTCCCCACCACGGTGGAACAAACCCTTGTTACGACATCCATCTACGGTCTCCAAAAAGCCCAATACAAAACCCACACATTATATCACCTAATGATCTAGCAACAGATGAAGAGTTTAACCAACATTATACCAGGAAGCTATTACCACGGATACTTCAATCACATAGCTGAAAATATGGAGAAAAGATAGGTAAAAAAAAAAAATCATCTTAACTTGTAGTAGTCTTTTTGCTTTTTTAAAATTTCTATAAAATACACTAATATTCCAAAATAAAGAATATTATGACACATTGGTGTCAACTCACACACATGAAAGCTGATGTCAGCTTTTTTTCTAACTAAAGTTCATTTCACCAAAACTTCATATATTACAGGAATATCCAAGTAAAGTATTTCTTTAAAAAAAATTCAACACAAAGGAACATAATATACAGTGTTTTTATATATATATAAAAATCAGTTAACAGGAATGATTCCATTTCTAACCACATTACGTATCTTTTTAAGACCAGGGGATCTCTTGCCATCTGGGATTCTTCAGTTCACGTCAATATTTCCCAGTTACTTTTATCTTAAAGTTAAAAAAACAAAAAGGAAAAGGTTGGTTGGCTGTTGACTTTCTTGTTTCCTTACTCAGAAGAGAATTGTAGAACAAGGTCCTTCACTACCAGGCTGTCTCTCCTCCATCTGTTTTCAGGACTAGCCAGACCCACAGCTGGGGTGCAACTGGAAGAGGGCATCAAAGGATGGATATAAAAAGATGGGCTCAGGCGGACCCTGCCACAATTGTAACGTGTGGGCACAGCCCCTCCCAACAAGCCTTGTAGAGCTTTAACACAGTCACAGGAGCGAGCGGTCTGCCGGAGAAGCTCGCCCTTCACATGGTCGGCTAGGAGGACACAAGTGGATGAGCATTTTAACTAACTACTGGTGTGCTGGCTAACGTGTGCCTTCACCAGAGAGGGAACAAACTTACGACATCTCGGTCAGTAGTGGTAGTGGGGCAGGGAAGAGACTGCTGTGTATGTTAAACCTCCTGTGTCGGTCAGTTCTGAGTGAAAATCACTATGAAATACACACACCATGCACAGTCCATACCACTGTGAAAATTCAGTAACACATGCAAGATGGTGGAAAAATCGCAATGGATGAATGGAAACGTTCACAGTGTTCCTTACAGCCTTTGACTTTAACACGAGTGCATCTCTTACCACCACCGTCTCACAAACTTTTACTGTGTCTTGGGCATGCAGATTACTTGGGGATAGAATGGGAATTACGGTTCAAAGCCATTCATTCATACACAGCGACTACCCAATGCGTTGCTGCTTGTGTTAGCAGACAAATGCGTATTTTTCAATCAATGGTTGTGCTTTAGTTTGCTTCTTACTTTACCCATTTCGTTTAAGGAAAATGAAAAACCCACAAAAGGAAATCGAGGGTTAGGTCTTCAGGTTGATTTCTGATCAAAGCGGACAGATGGGGAACTACTAACTCCTGTATCTGGAGTCTGCCATCTCCTCGTCCCAGGTCCTTCCTGGGTCTGATTCAGCTGTCTGTTTGGAAAACTGGCATTTTTGTCTAAACAGAGCAAAATATAACAGCAGGGAGGAGGACAGCGAGCAGGGGAGGGGGAGATGCAGTCTGTGTCAAAAAGAATCTCTTGTTCTCAACAGACAGGAGAGAACCCAGCTTCTCCTTAACCGTCATTTCATAAATTAATATTTTCTAAAAACCATAACCCAAAGAATTTGCTATTACAAGAAAGTTCAAGTTTTAAAAAAAGCAAATAAATTAGTTAAGCCTTGTAAACAATTGTCCATTTTAGTTAAACATCTTAAAAAAAAAAAGACATTGATCTGTATAGTCCATTGGACAAGGCACACTTTACACATCAGAACCCAGAGGGACGGAGCCCACACAGGAGCGGCCCCTTCACTCTGCCCCTGGGGTAACCAGGCTGGGGCTCTGGAGTCATGTGCCCATCTTCCTCTCAGCTCTTGAAGATCTGGAAGTCCACAGATGTGCTCTTTCTATGAAACTGCTTTGTGCTCTTTAGTCATATGATGTGATGTTAAGCTTTCTCCGTGTTCAATCTCCTCAGATGTTTTCCACAAAGCTCCCTGGGAAAAGGCCAGTCTTCCCATTTCTTTGCAACGTGCCTTTGAACCAGCCGTCCTCTCGTTTCTTATGAACAAACACAATATCTCCTTCTTTGAGTTCAAGTTCTGCCTCACTCTGAGGAGGGTAGGAAACCACTACCCTGTGCCTGCAAGAGAGAAGTAAACTATTAAGATCAGCAATAAACATAGTGCACCATCAGTCCGCAAGGTGCCTCAATACAAGTAGAATTTACACAGCCATTTACAAGGGTTTGTACAGTTCAAAATCCAGTGATTCTGTTTAGCAGGCTTGGAGTTAACAAAGACTGAGTCTGGGTATCCATTTTCATCCACTAATGATGGCCAAGCTGGTGTGAGTGAGTTAACTACACAGGGAGAGACATTTTTGTCTGCCTTCAGTATTTTTGTATTTTAGCTACACTTAAGGATATGTTTTGTATGGATTCTTAATAGGGGAACCATTTCTGTCCTACTTTCTACTCAGGAAGAGACAAGAAGATTTGATTTCTGAGCTGAAGACAGTAGCTGAGCAAGCTAAGACTTCCTTCCTACTTTATGTGGGCTCTGCTCTGCCTCTGTACTAGGAGCCGAGAGAGGTGACTGACCTGTCAGATTTGCTGCCCTAGGGGCAGATCTGGAGGACTGTTCTCTGTATCCCTTAGACTGGGTTTTGATATCCAGGAAGCAGTGGTTTTGAGGACATTTGTCTGCTTTTACAGAGGCAAGCCTCACACCAGGAAGAGAACTGTGGGCTCAAATTGTGCCCACCAGGACCAGCAATGATGCTGACACTCCAGTCTCCACGGGTCCTTGTCTATCCGCTTGCCCTTAGTTCTCAGGGTAGATGTGAGTGGGGAGAAGTGTAACCAGTACTTAACTGCCCAAAAGCCTTGTGGATTACCAGCACCTAACCTCCTGCCCCTGTGCCTTGGTCTCTAAGGCCAGGTTACAATTGACAGCTAAGGAAGCCAGGCAGGGGTGACTTATTTTGGATTTTTCGACCCAGTCTTTTCTCTACTAGACATTCTCCCTCTCCTTCCTCCTCCTTGCTCTTCCCAATCAAAGCAGTGGTGGTTGGCGGTATTTGGTAGCCAGCCTCTAGCCATCCCTGCCTCTGACAGTCTCATCTGTACACAGTTTCCTTCTATAATGCCCTGTGTGATAAGGAAATACTACAAAAGTGACTTGTGACTACTGAGGCCAGGTGACTGAGGACTGGGACAATCAGCCGGCAGGAGTAAGGACACTGGGCACCCCTAATCAGGTGCCATGCGAGGGTCTGAATCTTCTTTCCAAAACCAGTCAACAGTAACGTGAAGGAGCCGCTTTAAAACTGGACTCTCCAGCCACAGTCCAGCACAGTACAGCCCATTTCTCACTCCAATCCCCATTCCATAAAAAAAAAAAAACAAACAGAAAACCACAAACCACAGAACCCACCACATTAGCAAAGACCACAGCAAGTGGGCTGTCCAACAATTCCTCCGCTCCCTAGGGCATGGGGACCCATTTGCCCTCCAAGGTCTGCAGCAAAAGCATAGGGCTGGGTTGGTTTATCCGTTCCAAGGAGGATTTAGCCAACTCAGGTAAGAGAGTTTACAGACGACGTCAATCAAGTACAAAGCAGAGAAGAGAGGCGAGGCACTGTGGGTGAAGGGGAACTGACGTAGTCTTTCTGTCACTCAGAGCTTCTTAACTTTGAGCCAGCTAACACTGTCTCAGTCTCCTTACCTGGACAACGGGACTTCAGTGAGTTAAGACAATCTATTTCGTAAGAAGCATAACAAGTGCAAACTAGGTACAGCGACACATATAGTTCAACACCAGAATGTCAGATACTTCAAGCATGGGGCTTCCTTAAGAGTATGCAGGGGTCTGGTACTTCAGGGAGGGGAATTTTAGAACGTGGGCTAGCCCACAACTAACAGATGATCTCAGGCGTTCTTTAGAACATCCTGATACTGGGAGTTCCCACACTTTAGAATGACATAGAGTTTTGGAATCCTTTTACTGACATCTTTAAAAGCAAACTAACAACTTCATCATGCAGTGAGATTCTAACAGAAGAACCCAGATGTGATTTCTCAGGTCTGATGCCAACAGGCCAAAATCCACATAAAAAGCAATGATGTAGTTGCCACTTGGGGCGAGTTAAAATTTAAGTGAAGCTTTGCAGTTCTAGAGGGAAAAGTACCACTGACTGAAAGCATATTCTGTGTAGATCTCTCACGAGATACACTGCTGACTGGCAGTCTGCAAGCTAGCTGCTTTAAGGTACAATGGAACAGGACGAGTTTAACAAACTTGAAGTGAATTAGATTAATATTTGCATTTTATAAAAATGCACTAAACCAATTTTGTCAGAAAATCCCAGACCAGAATGGCTGCCGGGCTAAGAACATAATCTTCCTGCCAAGTTCCCAGCGGGAGCAAATTTTCATTGCTAAGTCATAGACCTCGAGGGGGAGTGGTAGAGTGAGAAGCCATGTTCAGAATGGAAACTGTGACATGGTGTGCGTCACGTGAGGACTGCCAGGTGCTGCAGCGACAGACTCCACTTAGAAGCCTTCCAGCGCAGGCCCTGGCTTTGAGCCTTAGGAAATGGTTTGTACTGAGACTTTGTCACACAGCCCCAAAGGCTGGCAGGACAGCCCAGCGAACTCAGTCACCCAAAAGCTCTGCCAAGCAGAATATTTACAGAGATCCACAAGCAGATGTCAGACACAGCTGCAAAGGCCCTCACACCTGCTGCCCCGCTCTCTGCTTCATTGGTTTGTGCTCCCCCTTGTGTGAACAGGGTTCCCAAGCACTTCTGAACATCTCAAACCCGAGCTACATTCTCCAGACCTTCTGTGGTGCCTGCTGAGCCGCCTCCAAAAGCTGCTCCCCTACTGGTCCCCTTCAATGTCATTCTGGTTGATGGCCTCACTATGCCCCGCCTCCTCCTTGTATTATCCTTCCTCCTGTCCCCAAACCATTCCACACACAACTCAAGTATTTACATTAAGTAATGCCACCTGTAGGTATCCATTGTGAAAAACCATTAGCGGTCTCTCCGTGTCTGTAAGGTTAATCCTCACACTGCTACACAAAGCCCTCAACGATCTGGCCAGTAATCCTGCTTTATAGCTATAGCTGCCATCGTCACCACAGACATTCCAACCCCTCCCCCGCCCCCCAGCCTGACTATGTCTCTTCAAACATAGTCCCGCTTCTCCTCCTCCACATACTGGCTCATGCAGCTCCTCGCATGGGGAATCTCTCTCAAAATATCTCTGCCCATCCAATCTCTTGAGACCTGGCTCAAAATCTCCCCTGGGGAACCTCTAGCCCCAAAGCTGGAAGTAATTTCACGCTTGACTGAACCCCAGAGGGCCGAGTGTGTATTTCTCACGGCACTTAGCACAGTCCATACTGTATTTTTACCATCTGTGTTCCTGTCTCATTTATTTTGAACTCATGGATAATGCTGAATTCACTCTCTCTGCCTCATGTGACCAAACGCAGAACGTAAGATGATTCTTACTAAGCACATTGAAGGAGTGAGAGATCTAACCACTCAGTAAGAATGGTTTTTTTTAAAAAATGTGTAATGTTCTTTAAAAAAAATAAATGAAATAAGAAAACAAATGAAATTATACTACATGCCACAATGTGAAAGAGTCTTGAAAGCAGCTCGTTAAGAGAAAAGAGACAGACAAGAAAGAAAACTCATTCCAGGACACCAGTGATACAGAATTGTCACGTAGAGAAAGGAAAAACGGGAAGAAACTGGCTGTGAATGGTTTCAGTGAAAGATGCAGAAGACTTTCTAGAGATGGACAGTGACACACTATTGATGGAAAGGCACTCAGTACCACTGGACTGTACCTTTGAATAGGGGTGAATTTTAACTAGATTTTAGTTTTCCTCTCATTTGAAAAGAAATTTCACTCTCACATAATCTATCCTGATTCTAGTTTCCCCTCCCCTACTGTTCCAGTTCCTCCCTACCTCTCATTCTCACTCACCCCCTTTCTGCCTCTCGTTAGAAAAGGCTCCTAAGGGATCATAATACAATATAACAAAATAAAACATAGTAAGATAAAACAGAAACTGTAATATGGGAGTTGGAAAAGACAAATAAATAGAAGGAAAAGGGTCCAAGAGAAGGCACAAAAATCAGAGGATCACTTGTTTGCACACTCAGGAGTCCTTTCAAAAAATACTAAACTGAGGGGCTGGAGAGATGGCTCAGTGGTTGAGAACACTGACTGCTCTTCCAGAGGTCCTGAGTTCAATTCCCAGTGACCACATGGTGGCTCACAACCATCTGTAATGGGATCTGATGTTCTCTTCTAGTGCGTCTGAAGACAGCTACAGTGTACTCACATACATTAAATAAATAAATCTTTAAAAACCCAAAATCAAACAAACAAATAAACAAACAAACAAAAAACCCAAACCCACTAAACTGGAAGCTGTAAAATACACACAGAGGGCCTGGTATGGACCATGCAGGCCTGTACATGCCACCTCAGTCTTTGTGAGTTCATGGGAGCTTTGCTCATGTCGCTTTAGAGGTCCTGGGTTCTCCTGGTGTCCTCCATCCCCTCCGGCTCTTACACTCTTTCTGCCTCCTCTTCTGCAGGGTTCCCCAAGCCCTGGGGAGGGGGGGGGGATTTGATGGTGACACCCCAGTCAGGACTGAGTGTTCCAAGACCTCTCACGTTCTGCACTATATTTCGCTGTGGGTTAACTATACTTAAACAACTAAAAAATGAGATGATTCAAGAACTGAAAATAATGGAAATATTAGTAAAAAAAAAAAGAGAGAGACACAGAGAGTGTGATCGAGAAAATGCAAGAGAGCAGAGGTAGGGTGTATGTATGTAGGGGGAAGGAGGGGAGAGGAGGGAGGGAGAGGAAGGGGAGAGAGAAGGGCTGACAGGCATTCTGGTTGTTGGAGAGTACATTGGTCCCTTTGAACAAAGCACACGGGTTTGCTTGCTTCAGCTCTAAATAGGCCTCTACCTCTAGGGTGACTATGACAGGCACAAGAATGGAGCTGGAGAAACAGATTCCTGCTGTGGTGTGAAGAAGGGCATTCTCACTCCCATCTGGACAGGCTCTGACAATCTTCTGATACTAAAACGTTTTCCATTTCTTTCACCTTTTTTATTCCTGACTTGACTGGTGTCTCTGTAGTTCACATGTTGTCATTTCTGTCCCTCCTCATATGATGGCAATGAGTCTCCCTGCGACTCTGAGAAGCACTCTCTTAACCTGGGCCCGGTAACTAAGTGTTGCCTGCTTCCTGTCAGTTACCACAGCAATCTAATATCCAGTTAAGTCTTTTACTGGCAAGACCCTACTGGCTGGCTTTGTCTCGTGTGCAAAGTCCAAATACATTATGTCCATTGCTTTACCCAGTGGATTCATTGTCACTGACTCAAAGAAATGAATCATGCTGTGTAAGCCCGACTGTCTTCCTGAAAATCTACCACTATCCATTTGGCCATGTTACTGACTACTCTGGTTTAATTCCTGATCAAAGACCATGCTTTTTTTTTTTCTTTCTTTGTAGGGTACATGTTTATTGCTTTAATTCCTAAACTTAAAAATACGCACAGGTAAAGGTGACTTGTGATGCTTTCCTAAGCCAAGTGGACACGTGTGTGTGTGAAAAACTGTCAAACATGATTTTATTTTAAGTCTCTTCTGAGACCTTTTCTTCCTACCTTCACTTTGCAATTTCCTAATTATTTTTCCTCAATCTTTCTAAAATAGAGCCTAACAATATTTGTTTATTATTTCTGCTGTCATCAATTAGACAGCCTCTGCCTCCAGGATACCAGGCTATTTCTTGCTTGTTTTCTGCAGCAGTCTCTCCCACAAACACGAAAGAATCCCTTTGTTTCCCAGGAGAACTTCTCTCAGCTGACACCAAGACCTGTCAACACACTTCAAGGTTCATCCTTCCTCATTATGAGATTGAGCCTCTTCACGTCACATGACTGCACCTCTTCCCACCACGTGACTGCTCCTTTCCACTGACAACACTTTTTTAAACCTTTAGCTCCACCCCCACCTTCTGGTGATGGATGAAGCAGGGCTGTGGTGGACAGGGGACTTTCCCCTTGTTCCTGCTGCACCCTGCAGATGGATGCGGGCTCAGTCTGTCTTAGCACTTTGCTCTGAAACTTGTTTTCATGAAAATCTCTCAAAGTCCCGTATAAAGAACCCAGGGCCAATGCTGCGGCTGTGTAGAGTGTGGGTGAAGGGACTCAGCACTTTATGTGCTTTCTGAACCATACTTCCTCCATCCGAGGCTCTAAGTGCTTCTCCTTGTGTTGGAAAGTTTGAAATATGCAAGCAGGTAATCCCTAAATGACATGCTTGCTAGCTCTCTATTAACCAAAACCCTTCATCCTCGGGGATAATGGATGGCTTTCCTACACCAGTTTCCCATTGTTTTTTTACAGTCAGGTGGACTTAAGCATCCAAGTTAAATAAATACCATTACCATCACTGTGTGAAGGCAAACGGCTGTGGAAAGTTGCTGGCTATTACATTTAATATTCCATTGAGCATATGGATTATAAAAATATAAAGTTGGGCTGAAATCTGTTCTAAGGACCCCCTTCCCTCTCCTAAAAATTGAAATGGCCACATAAAAACCTGCCAGAGATTTCCAGAATGCCCGTGTCCATCTGTCCCGTCATTAAATTCTTCATGTTCCCTATCTGATGTGCCTCTCTTGTTCCCCAAACACCATCACCTGTCTGGTGACAGCTCTCCTTTCAGATGGCCTGAAAGGCACAGCCTGCTGTTAGAAAGAGCCTTTTAAGAGGAGAGAACGGAATGCAGAAGCCACAGAGATCAAGGACATCTGGTGATTGAAAAGGAATGCATAATGGGGGGTGGCGGTGAGGCAGCAGTGCCCAGCCAAGGCCTGGGGAGAAAGTGGGCAAAATGAACCATCCTTCCAAACAGTCACAGATTCCACAAAGGATGGGGGTGGGAGTGACGGGCAGTAAGCGCCTCAGGGCACGAGGGGAAATTGCAGATCACTGCCTGGAGGGAGAGAGCTAGCCTTTGTGACTGAAAGTATACAGTAACTGGACTAGCTCCAGGGACAGGAGGCATTGTCCCTGGAAAGCAGCACTGGAACTCTGCAGGAGAAAGGCTGACTCCAGAAGCAAAGCGTGAGTGAAGCCAGGCCTCGCTTTCAAAGCTTTCCCAAGAACACAATGGAGAAACACAGAAGGATCTGTGTGTAGGGAGGGAACATTTTTAGGGTAATGTGTCATTTCAAAACTAGCTTTATATCAGTCAGAACTACACTACAGAAAACTTCAGCTCTTTATGAAAGTGCGTAATAAAGTATACTTTATAAACGTAGGTTGTTTGATATTTATTCTCCAGTTTTAGAGTTTACTTTTAATTGAAAATGTGCCACAAAATCAGGAGGCTTCAATACAAATGTTTATATAGTTCCATTTGAAATACAAAGGAAAAGTGAAATTTAAGTCATTTTTGTTGTTATTATTATTATTTAAGATTTGCGTGTATGTATGTGTGCACATGAATGCAAGTACCCAAAGAGGCCAGAGGCAGCAATTGCCCCGAGACTGGGGACAGAACTTGGGACCTCTGCAAGAACAGTGCATGCTTTTAACTGCTGAAGTGAGTCATCGCTGCAGCCTAAACCATTGTAAATGACCATTTCATAGCAAAGCCACAAATCAGGCATGGTGGCGCACAGCAAAAGTGCTAGCCACTTGGCTGGCTGAGGTGGACACTCCCTGAGTTGAGGAGTTTGAGTCTAGCCAGGGCAACACGAGGATACTACCACTGTCACCAGCTCAGCAACAGAGAGAATGTCAACCAACTGGGAACATGTCTACAAACTGGAAGTTTGTTTATCTTCTAAATTCAAGTCTAGAGAGAACAGCGTGTACAGAAACAATAAAACAGATGAGGCCTAAATGCTTATGTTATATGAAAACAGAACAGAAATTTGAATGTACTGCATGATGCCTCCTTGGGTAATAAGTAGCAGTGAACTTTCCAGTTGTCATCCTGGTAGATTTGTGTCTTAGTAAGTATGTTTTCTTCCCTTACACAACCCTAGACCCCCACGACTGCAGGAAACAGAACCCCCCCATACACACACACACACATGTAAACACTGTTTAAAGCCAAAATCACTCTAAGAATGCTTATCACTCTGAGTATATGAACCAAACCACTGGAACCTACGCTGTGTTCTTCTGATTCAGGAGACAGGATAAAAAAATTACTTCCAGTAGGTGATAGTGTAAGCTCTTAAAGGACAAAGTATGCCAGGGGTTCTCAACCTCTGGGTCGTGACCCTGGACAACCAATTCAGATAGCAAAATTACAGCTATGAAGTAGCAGCTAACATTTATGGTTGGGAGGGGTGTCACCATAACATGAGGAACTGTATTAAAGGGTCTCAAGATTAAGGAGGCTGAGAACCACTGGCTTAGATGCTCAGTGATTGACAGATACCACGTGGCTACGAATTAACTGTTAACTAAGGGAAAACACGGGTGTGTTGGTAAGTACAGAAAAAGAAAGACTGACCTCAAATGTCATGAAATTTTAAGACATCATAGAAAACGATCTTCTAGATCAGAATAGAAATTCTAGCCTCAAGTTTGCTACGTATATCTTAGTTCTCTCTGAGAGCGGCCGAACTCACCTTTCACAAACAACAGGCCTGGCCTCATTCATGACTGGACCCAGGGAGGAGCAGGCCTGGCGAGGTGGTGGAGCGATGGGCACTGCGGAATCCAGGGAGCTTGTCTTGCGATGGAAAGCCTCCTGGGCTAAGGCTGTTGCTGTCCCGGCGGCCCCTGGACCATCCCCATCTGCGGGGCAGGATCCCCCTCTGCCGTGGCCGCCCCCTAGCGGCAACTCAGGACCCACTGCTCCCTGCAAGGGAACCTCCCCTGTACCCAGCTCCACGTCCAAGGTAGGTGATGCTGGAGGGGAGACTCTGGGCTTGCGTTTGGTGGAGGCACCAGAAAGCAGCTTCAGTAGGCCCTTTTTTTCTTTCTGGAAAAAAAGAAGAACCCAAACCATGGATATTAGTTGGAGATCGGCAGTTGTATCACTCCTATAATCTCCAGGGCACGCCGATTCACTTCTGATTACATCATGGTTATTCATTACCTCTGGGTAGCCTTTGTGTGAGGTTAACCTGACCTTTCGCTTACTGCTTCTCCCTTTTATGCCTGCCTGCTTCTGTTTGTGCTGGAAATTCTCTTGTTCATTACTATCTTCTACTGGGGCAGCAAGATAAACAGATTAAAAAGATGTAAAACAAAAAAATTCAATTAATTTGTATTTTGCTTTGATAAAAAGTACAAGTAGCCAGTGAGATGGCTCAGTGGGTAAAGGAGCTTGGTGCCAAGTCAGAAGAGCTGACTTCGAGCCCAATAACTGGTGTGGCAGAAAAAGAACCAAGAACTACAAGCTGTCCTCTGACATCCACACAGGCACTACGTCATGCGTATGCATGTGCACACACACACAACCCAATCGATGGAATAACAAAAGCACAAATACATATTGCAGAATAAAGTGGACATTCCAGATTGTGGGTTTAATCTCTGCATATACTGCCTGTCTGATTCTTGTTATGGGAGCCAATTGTGTACTGGCTTAACTACAAGCCTGGTAATACTTGACTCCGTGTCAACACGCTGCAACCTTATCATTCTCAGGAAAGATGCCCTGATCACAGTCAAGGGCTAGAGTGCTTCTTACATGTCACCACCTTGATTACATTTAACCAGCCACAGTGACAGGAGCCAAACCATTCCTACTGTGAATGCAGTTCCTTGATTGCAAACCCTGAGACAACACCACAAAATTTTAAGGAGAGCTTCAGTGCCCAGGAATCTTCATGCCTTTCTTCTTTCCTTCCTCCCTTCCTTCCTTCCTTCCTTCCTTCCTTCCTTCCTTCCTTCCTTCCTTCCCTCCCTCCCTCCCTCCCCCCCTCCCTCCCTCCTTCCTTCCTTCCTTCCTTCCCTTCCTCTCTTCCTCCCTCCCCCCTCCCTCCTTCCTTCCTTCCTTCTTTCCCTCCCTCCCTTTCTTCTCTTTCTTTCTTTCTGAAAACAAATGCACAAATAAGAGTCCCCCACACCACCACCTCATGCTCCAGAAACCATAACCTGAATTTGTCTCTTTTGACATTTTGCTTTTTTGCTACTCTCTTCTCAAATTCTACCGCTATCTTTCTCAGTCACCGGGTTTAACACTTCATTGTCAAATCTCTGAAATCCTTTCACCCAGACTTCATCAGTGATGGAATTAAGTCCTCTGACTGGAAACACTGGAAATGTTTTTCACAGAGATGTGTTTCTTTAGGATTAAGGTCCATTAACAGAAACGTGGAGTGAGGGCTCAAAAGCAGACAGAGCACCGAGGAATACTTCTTCATAATATGAGTTAGTTCGACCCAATAAAAATCCCCTCGGGGAACGAATCCCTATCCACAATAACACAACTCCACTAAAGATAGAACGGCACAGAACAGGAGGAGCAGTCACTTATCTGACGGTGAGCAAAGATCCCTGAGAAACCGCACAGTCTCCATTTATAAACACTGTTCAGAGTATGTGGTGCTCTGTGAGCTGGAAATAGGAAAAGCAAAGTGGGAAGGGCTTGGGAGTGGTTGCTAGGATCATCTCCCGGCCTTCTCAGGATAGGCAACAGATAAACAGAGCCCATGCATCTCCTTACCCATCCCCTTAACCCATGAGGAGTTGGGGGGGGGATGGGGGGTAGGCATGGGGGAGAGGGGAAACCTCAACTCATTTTGCTGTGCTTTGTTTCTTTCTCTTATCACATGTTACATTGTCTGAGAGTCAACAATGCATGTTGTCATAAAGGACTCTACAGACTCAGACTACCAGCTTGGGTGTAATGGCGGCTGGACTGTGCTTGCCTCTGTATCCTACTCATTGCCTAAGACAGGGTAGGGCACGATTGAACTGGGGAGGCCCAAGAAAATACTGCGAGGGAGTAAGATAAAGGCCGGAATGGAGAGTAGTCACTGAGCAACCAGAAGGGATGTTTTGGGTTTCCCAAGTCCAGAGGAGATAAAACAGTGGTGGGTGAAGCAGCCTGATCTCCAATTCTGTGCTACACTTCTCTAGTGGGGCATCTGTGCTGGAAAGAGCAGGATGTCTGATAGCTTCCACTTCTAAGGTCGCCAGATGCAGCATCCAGCTATTTCTGTCATGATATGAGAAATCACAGTCTAATCCCCGGAGCCTATAGATTGGCTGAGAACATCAAGCCCATTGATAAATTACAACCTCAGCAAGTCACGGCCAAAGATGCTGTTTAAAAGCTCAGATCTGGGCACTCAAAAGAGTATCAGATAAGTGACTTTGCGCTCAGGGAGCAGCTTCTAAAGTGATTAAGAAGAAAGATGACTTGGTTCATTGAAAATGATTAAACACATTAAACACAACTTGCTTTAATGACTTCTAAGGGATATGTTATCATCATCAAGCAATACTGACTACCCACAGAGCAGAAGGCAGCAGATTAGGCATCGTGGTGGGGCGCAGAAGGCTGGGGGTAGGGGTGTCGACACACAAAAGATGAGGCCCTAGTTCCAAGGAACTGTGCTATTTATAATGCATTCTGATGCTTTCTCTATTAGAAGAACAATGTGCCACTTGAGAGAGATAATTTTGCAGGTTCAGACACTTACTATCTAAGGACACCTTTGCTTATTTCGAAATCCAATAGCAGAAATGAAAAACATGAAAGGATTAATAGTCCACACTTGGGTAAAATGATTTAGAAAAAATAATGCTAGCATATATAAAAATGGGGTGGGTGTTATCTTTCACTAGGTACCTCAATAGCTCATCTCCTGTGGTTGTTCCATTCCAATGAAATGATGTTTTTAGAATCACTTCAGATTTGATGATTTAAAACTACCACAGGGTAGTGGTGGGGCACGCCTTTAATCCCAGCACGTGGGAAGCAGAGACAGGTAGATCTCTGAGTTCCATGCTAGCCTGGTCTACAGAGCAAGTTCCAGCACAGCCAACACTACTCAGAGAAACACTGTCTTGAAAAAACAAAAACCTAACAACAATAAATAATATCAAGCTTTAAAAAAAGAAATATCTAGATCAAAAACCTGTCAGAGTGACTTTTATGCGTGCAATGTTTTCTAGTTGGATTTGGCGATACACACCTATAATCCCATCTGTGTGGGAGACCAACACAAGAAGATCCTAAGGAAGTGACGGGCCTGTTCTAAATTAGAACAAAAACAAAAACTAACCGACTTATGGAGAAACAGCTCAGTTAGCAACGTGCTGGTCACCCAGGCATGGGGATCTGAGTGCAGTCCTTAGAACTTACAGAAAGTTACAGAAAGAAAGTGGTAGCCTGGGGAGGTGAAGGCAGCTGGATCTCCAAAGTTTCAGGGCCAGCCTAGCCTATCAGCAAGATCAGTGTCAATCAGTATCATATCTCAGGACCAAGATGGATGCTCTTGAGCACTGCTTCTCAACCTTCCTAATGCTGTGACCCTTTAATACAGTTTCTCATGTTGTGCTGACCCCCGACCAGAAAATTATTTCATTGCTACTTCATAACTATAATTTTGCTGATGTTATGATTCATAAATGTAAATGTCTGAGATGCAAGATATCTGATATGTGACCCATGCGAAAAGGCGTTTTGACCCCCAAGAGGGTCGAGATCCACAGGTTAAGAACAACTGTTCTTGAGGAACAGCATTGAAGGCTGATGCCTGGCCTTCACCTGTATACAAACTTGAATGTGTACACACACACACACACACACACTCACCCATACATGCACAAAACAAAAACAAGCTTAGAACTCAATAGAGCACTTTCCTGACATGTGCTGGGTCTAATCCCTAATTCATTCATTCATTCATTCATTCATTCATTCATTCATTATTTTTAAGGTACATGGAGACATTAGCAAGAGTCTTCTGGGGCCCACAGGTCTAATTTATATACTAGTTTTCTAATATGCAAGAGTCATTGTCCTTAGGTAGGAATCTCAAAAATATTATGTCATGTGGTTAAAAATAATCTCTCTCACTTTGAGCAAATCTTTCTGAGTATCCAACAAGAAGCAGGCAATGTGCTGGGCTCTGGAATGTGCTGTGTCTAGGACAGTTTGTATCTAACAGCAACAAGCATGGCTGTATAACAGGTCCTCTGCCCAAGAACCAAGCAGGGGAAGGCATGAGGCTGGGGTGCTGTAGGGGGAGCCATGCTGGGGTAGGAAAGGTGTCTTGAAGGAAGGAAGCTTCCTGAAATTCTAGAGATGATTAAACACCACCTGTTTCAAGAGTCTTGTTAAACCCTATCAGAGGGATTTCCATATTTAGTCTTCATAGCCACCGATGAGGTAGGAATTAATTATTCCTGCTGCCTGAAGCTCTGAAAGTCTGCCTAAAATCACCATGCCAGCAAGGGGGTGGAAATGAGATTCTATTCTGCAGAATGATAAAAGCAGACACAGCTCCCCCTCTGTCTGTCTGTCTGTCTGTCTGTCTGTCTGTCTGTCTGTCTGTCTTTTTCTCTGTCTCCCTCTCTCCCCTGCCCTTCTTTCTCACATCTCCTAGCTGAACTCTGTGCACAGACAGGCACCATGATGACCAGGTCTGGATCCCAGGTATCAACAAGAGCAGAGACCGTGAATGCGGCCATTTATAGATCCCCAAGAATGTTTCCCAACAAAACATGCAGATGAGCTTGTTTCTGACAGTAACATAAATCTAGAAGGGAAAAGAAATCTGAGCAAAGAAATAACCAGGAACGAAGCCAGGGAAGCGGCCAGAGAAGGCAAAGGAGAGGCTCTTCTGCATGAGGATTACAGAAGAGGCCTTCCAACATAAGTCTGCAGGTCTCCATAAGGGAGACAACACTAGAACTAGGGGTTTGAGGAGCTGAGGCACTAATTGGTGGCTGTGTGCTCACTCCTAGAAAAGTGTCCAGATACTGGAGATACAGCTCAGTTGGTGAGAGGTCTTGCTGTGCGACCCTGAATCTGAACCCCCAGCCCCAGGCTGAAAGCTGGGTATGGCTGTGCATACTGTCATCACTGAAGATCGAAGACAGCTGAAACCCAAGAAACGTGTTCAGACAGAGCTGTAAAGCCAGTGAAACGGAGAAGATCAGGAGTAACAATGACAGGGCCAGGATTTCAAATAGGGAATAACAGAGATGATATTTAAAAGTACAATTCAAGAACTTATCATTAAATAAAGTAAATATACTAAGGGTCGTGGCCCTGGGACAAAATACAGCTTCTTGTTTTTCCAAGATACTGTGGGAAAGGACTCCCAGATGAATTACTAGTCAAAAGAATTGACCCAGTTAGGAAAATGCAAGTAGAACTGGAAGTATATCCCAGAGTTATTCATACAGTGGTATCCCAGTGACAGCTTAGTGACAGCCCACTGATAATCTGGGTACAGAGAGCCAGACCCTCCCCAGGGCAGCAGAATACTCCACACTGCCTGTGGATGGCAATGATGCAGAAAGATTAGGAAGGCATGGTCTGAGGGTACCATCTTACATTACCCAGAGCTCCGCCCCCCCAACAACCCACACTACCATCTCCATCCCCCATTGATTTCCCTTTGATTCCCTACAGTTTAAGCCACAGAAAGCAGAGTCTGCTTTGTCTCTAATTCTGATCAGCTGGGGATGGGGGCTGCGGGATAAGGAGAAACCAGACAGGAGAGAGTCAGAAATTCTAAGAACATAGAAGAAAGTGCTCCCCCAGAGGAGCTTGTGATATAAAGTTTGAAAGAACCGATTTTTAAAAGTTTAAAGAAAATGTATGCAATCGCCTCCAGTTCAAAGCGGAAATGTTGGAACGGTTGGACCCTCAAAATGAAATTCTACAGCTGCAAATTATCCTACAGATGAAAATGGAAAGGTCTCTAAAGGACCTGGTGGGAGCCCCAAGGGGTGGCATAATGGGACACAAGTTTTAAAGGCCACGTACAAAAAGATCAAGAGAGAACTCTGTCACAAAGAACGTAGCAATGCAAGAGGGCTAGAAACCCGAATGAGCTTGAACTTTCCAAAATTCTAAGGAGAAAATATTAAAGGGCTATTTTAAGGTTATATTTGAAACAAAAAAGAACATAGACCTCCTGCCTGGGGTGAACAGTGGCTCTTAGCTAGGAGGACGAAAGGGAAGGTATATCTCTGTACCCAGAGAAATGAGCAAACCCTGACATGGAAGAAGGGAAGAGATCAGGACAAAGTCACCTCCACACAGAGGAAGTTAACATCGAAAGTGCAAACTAGTAATTTCTGAGCAATTTGGGTGAATCTGGACTCAGGGTCAGTTCAATAGGCAAAGAAGGGTATGCTCTGCTCCAGTTTTCAAAGGAAGATGAGTTGTGGCCAGAAGGTTTTATCTTGGAGGGCTATCCTCTGTGGTTGCTACATAATACCAGGGCAGTTGGGTTCCCCTCTTGGGGTTCTTGCTTTCATTAGGGAAAGAATTTAAGAAGTGACTTTAACAGGCATGGTCCGACCAAAGCTAGCCCCAGCAGCTGCCTGGCGGAGAGAGCGGAAAAGCCACGCCCCTGAGACAAACTGTAGGTCATACATGGTGGACGAGTAGCTCAAGGCAGGGAAGGAAGCTTTAGAGAAAAGTAAGAAAGCCGAATGGATCAGAGAATGCAAACTTAGAACGAAGAGATAGAAAAAAAACAGGGAGGAAAACCTGGGCCTTTGAGAGTTAGAAAGGGCGGCACTCCCGGACTGTCTTAACCTCACCACAGACTGTAGGAACTTGGCTAGGAGGCAGAAATTCTGGGATGGAGAATTAACAGCATCTCACTACAGGAGTTATCATCTCATCTAACTCATTATCATGACTTAAGGCTAGCCACTTCCTAGGGGTGATCCCTTGACCCACCCAGTTAGAAAGTTAGGCCTCCATGCAGACTGAAGATTCTATTTCTTGACCAGAATTTTTTTTTTTTAAAGTGGTCCTTTATAGCTGCTCTAAAGCAATTTGCAGACCATCTGGGAAATTCTCGGATGGCATTAAAAGAAGGTTTAACAAGCACTTACAGGCGGAAATGACACTCTAAGGAGGAGAAGCTTCCAGAAGACTTTACTACCAATAAATAACAGCAGAACTGTCATGACAGTGGGTCAGATCTTGGCGTGGCACCTGGCAACATCTCCCTTGATATGATGAAGTGGGCCTAGCTATTACTTCAGCCCTAAGGAGGCATGCCTGTGTAAGTGATGGTAATCACGGAGTTACGGAATTAATATCATCCTTAAGGGTCTACACTGAATCTGGAGCAGGTTTAAGAGGGGAGATTTGAAATCTGTGACAAGAGGAATAAGTGAAAACACAAGAAAGCACTAGTTCTCAGTTCTGAAAATACCTTGGGGCATTCTAGGAGGTTCTTAAGATTAAGGGAAGACATAGGAAGACAGATACATGCTCTACAGACTTCCAGTACGTTAAGGATTGACTGTAGAGGGAAGACCATCATCCGGAGATACGGTACTTGGAATTGCTGCTATGCCCTAAAAGTGGACAGAAGGCATTTTCCACCTGTAGACAGTAAAGGGAATGACAATGTCGGATACAAGTGGCTACCGAAATAAGTTACCTCAAACTTTGTGAGAAGAAGAACTCAGGTCCTAAAATCAAGATGTTATAGGGAGACCTTCCATATGGACATGGAGAGGGAAAAGCCTGGCTCCTGGCCCCTGTTTCTCAGCTTTCTGCATCCCGTGGCTTATGTCTTACTTCACTGTCATTCCATCTGTGAGCTACCTATCTGTATCTCAAGTGCCCCGACCTTCTTGTCCCCTTACAGGAAGGTTCCTATATTGAACACTGGGTCCACTCAAAAGGATAAGTCCTCATCTGGATAATCCTTTTTGCTAGTAAGGAAGCAGTAAGGTGGGTCTTGGGACAGAAGGAGGACATCTTTAAGGGCCCTTACTCGGCTCACCACCGGTACCTGTCAGTGCATTCTCTTAATGGACTGAAGAGCCCTGTTCTAAGAGACCGAGGACACTGTGCCCAAGCCTGAACATTTCAAACTATTAAGATTACTCTTTGAAAACACAGAGTAGAACTAGTCCATCTGAGTACTAAGCGTAACAGAGTTAATGATAAACACTGAAGCAGATACCAATCGTTTTAAAGTTAATGTTAATAGTTAATTAAATATTAACTTGTCAGCAGGCTATAAAGTTTATTTCCTTATACACTTCTATTTACAGGCGTCTCTACCCAGTTAAGTAGAGTGACAGACATCACCACCGAAGCCAGGTGGCTCAGAGCCCTGGTTCCCAGCTTTATGGGAAACACACGGAATACTGAGCAGAAAGTCAAAACCATGGTACAACCATCCAGACTTTATCCACGCTTAAGTTTATTCTGTGTGTCAACTACCTGTCTCCAAGCCTAACCACAGGGACATCTTTCAAAACAGCTTCCTACTGTATTTATATAAAGTCAAGTCCCAAAGAAAAGATGAGGTCTCCCCCCGTATTTCAGGTGCTATCTCTCAAGGAACCCTGCTGATCTATGGTTGAAAGGAGGGTAGGTACAATAGGTGAATAGATACATTTGCAAGTAACTTTTTAAAATTTGTATTTTTATCTTTTAGATGTGTGTGTGTGTGTGTATGGGTGTGTGCATACAACTGCAATGCCAAGAGAGGCCAGAAGAGGATATTAGAACTGCTTGGTGTTATAAGCAGTTGTGAGCACCAGGGAGTGAATTGGGTCCCATGTAAGCGCAGTAAGGCTCTATACTGTTAACGACTGAGCCAGATCTCTAACCCCGAGAATAACATTTTTGAGGGACAGTTTCCAACCCCTCAACCGTCAAAAAAACATTTAAAAGAGGAGTTGTCAAATAGCAAGAACATCGGACATGAACATTTGAAGACAGCAAAATAATAAAAGAGTTAAGTTACTTGAAAGAGACAAAATTCTTCCTTTAGGTTTGGAGAGCTGCAAGCTGAGGTTGATTGAATCCTTCTCACTGTGGTCTCCTTCTTACCCAGTAGGGGGCCTGAAAACTCAAGGGTATTAATGCAGAAAAGCACACGGCTGAGGCATGAGGCTGGGGCAGTGCCCAGGTTTCTGCACCACCGTATTCCTGGCACGTGGCACATGAACTTGCCCATGGTAAGAACCTGAAGGGCTCTGGAACAATGAGTCCTTTCAGTGGAAAAAAAAAAACCTTTAGGGAGTAACAGCGAGGAGAAGGAGGGGCTCTTACCTTACTGTCCTTGTCTGGTTTCACAGCTGAACTGTTCCCGCACGCTGATGCAGCACTCTCAGGAGACGTAGGGAGTCCAGGGAGGATGGTCAGTGTTCGACCACTGGGCTCGTTCTCCAAAGTGGCAGTGGTCATGTTTGGGGAGGCCAGAGAAGCCCCTGCAGCACAGGCCAGGGGGGCATTGGTTCGATTGATGCCAACGGCAGCAACGTGGGCGGCAGGACCTGCCATTGGAGGCAGAGGTTGGGAGGCCAGAGAATGATGGGGCAGGCCCACGGATGCAGGACCGAGGCAGGCAGCATTCTGGACCTGGATGGGAGTCACTGCTGCCGTGGGGCGTTCCTGGTTATGTACTGCAACTGACAGGTGACAGGAGGGAACACAGGGTCAATGGCCTAGTAAACACTCTCACCAAAATGTGAGTCACCTCATCATGGTAGACCGTAACAAGAGGCACTGACTGACATTTATTGCAATAAAGAACGGATGCAGGAATGCTTAACCCACTTAAGTCCTAGCCGGATCTCTGGAAGCTACATTCCTTCCAGGTGAGCAACTGAGGCTACTGAGGACTTGGGAGATATGCTGTCTGTTATCACCCTTCAAGTTATGAACAATAACTTCCCACAGCATTAGAGACATGGGGCCACTTTCTGATGGCTCTCCGTGGCGACAAACCACACCAGACTTAGGTCCTTTACCGATTCTACATTGTGGCTCTCCTCTCTCTCTGACAACTCGCTTTTCTTTGCAGTCTTTCAGCTAGAACTCACATGTATTCAGATTACTCCACTACTGTTACCCGAGACTCTCGGTAGGTAGGTTTTTCAGTGCCTCAGAACTAAGAAAGGCACTTGAATTCCCATCGAGTCTAAAATAGACCTGTGACTAAGTTCATCAAAAAAAAGAACCAGCATACCGCGTAGCAGAGAATCACGAAGCAGTCACACAGCTAGAAACAGTGAGATCGGAGGCGGGACCTTGACTTGAAGTCATGTTTCAAGTTCCCAACCACTCACGGTCTTAGGATCTGATTAATTCTTCTCATACCTCAGGCCTACTGTTTTTCAATGAATGTGCAGGATGTGTTTAGCCCAAGCAAACAGCTATAGAATGGCTCCTACGGTTTAGACATACGATGTCCCTTGAAAGGCCTCATGTGTTGAAGGCTTGGTCAGAAGCTGAGGGGTGACTGGATTATGACGGTGCTAACTCCATCACTGGGCTACTAGGAGGTGGGGCCTGCTTAGAATAAGCAGGTCACTGAGGCATATCTCAGAATGTGTATCTCGAGCTGGTCCTTTCATGGTACTTCATGGCCAACCCTACGGTGGCATCTCTGCCCCACCAAAGGCTCTCTTCTGAGATGCTCTACTTCAAGCACAGACCTTCAATGATAGGGTCTGGCTACCATGTAATCTCTTTGTCACACTCTTTGCTTGTTTCTATCAGGGGTACCTTTCACAGAGGTGAAGAAATATTGGTAATATGGTTTGCTAGTTTCTAGTTCAAAACGGTAGCAATCATTTTACATTCACACCTACTTTCCTGACACTGGTCGTAACTGACCTGCTTAGTCACCTAAGCCCATTCCTCATGCGCTCCAGGCCCAGTCCCCTCGCACCTGTCCGCACAGCGTTGCGGGCCTGGTTGACTGTCATCTGCCCAGTCATGTGCAGCAGGACCTTTGCCTGAGGACTTGTCTGGATATGAGCTGCTGACACCACAGCTGTAGGGACGACGCTAGAATTCCCAGCCACGCCGTTTCCTTGGGGCTTCTGTGTAGGCCCTCCCGCAGTGGAGGGACTGACCATGGTCACCCCACGACTTGTCTGACCCGCAGTAGACATAGGGACTTTAGCTTGAGAGGCATTTGTCACCGCCCTGCCAAGACAGAAGCAGACAGAAAGTCCAATCCATCAGCAAAGTGGGAGACGGAACAATGAATGCAAGAAAAATGACTAAGAGCCTTAGAGCCTTAAAAAAAAAAGAATGGAATTATTTTTACAAGAGTTTAAGACAAGCACATCCAAAGAAATGATGGCTGAGTCAGACAATGGTCTTGGAACCACTTGAGTCACCAAACCACACATCCTATCTGCCTAAGATCACAGTTATTAGGGCTAGCTTCCCATTCCATGGCCACCAAGCTCCATGGAATCTCAAAGCCATGAATTTTCCTGCTTCATCTTGAGCAAGACCCACCATTTGCATCGTACTGATCCTGCTTTGACCTTCTCAACCTACCTCTAACATAGTACACAAGTGCCTGTGAACAAGCTAGTTCTCTGTCTCTGTCTCTGTCTCTCTCTCTCTCACACACACACACACACTCAACACATATTCACACTGCACACACATTGTACACACTCATATATGCCTAGTCACACACACTGCACACAAATTCTCACACTCACACATATGCACACTCACACACACTGCACACACACACGCACTGCACACACATGCACTACACACACTGTACACACTCATATATACACACTGCACACACACACTGAACATACACACACATGCACACTCACACATACACT